AGCGCTGCCTTCGAGCCAACCTGCTCAGCACCAAACACACCCACACCTGCTCCACTGGCAGGACTGGGACTCTCAGCAGCAGCTTCCTGAGCCCAATTTAAGAATTTTTCATCCTTTTTGGATTTTTGGGTTCCTGCAAATATACTGGAGTAGATAGAGGATGCTCCCAGCCATCAACCTTCCTGCACTCCTCCATCCTATCTCACCTATCCCTCCCAAAATCTGGGAAATCCCAGCCCCAGCAGCCCTTTTCCCACCCCAGCAGCCCCAGGGTGGGTCTGGTGGCACATGTCCCCACTGATTACACTTGGCAGCTGCCTCCAATCTCCTTAACTCCTGCGAACACCCTGAGCCAGGGGCTGCAGGGGTTATCCCCGATGTCCCGAGAGCCAGCGGATTAGATCTGAAGTTCTTAACATGTATCCTGGGCCGTCTTTCTCTCGTTCTCACACACACATGTGTACCCATGCGGGTACTTACATGTGTCCTGCTGTTATCCCTCTCTCCTGCCTTTTTTTTCCTTTTTTTTTTTTTTTTAAAAAAAAAAAAAAAAGCCCACCCATCTGAGGACAATGATGGCAATAAGTAACGAGGGAGAGGGAGCAGGGCTGGAGGAAGTGGGGTTGGTGTTGCTAAAGGGCTGGATGGCAATTGGGGACATTCACCAGCACCCTCTGGCACAGCGTGGGACAGCAGCCAGCTCCTCTGCGGAGCTGGGGACACTGAATTGCAGCCGGGTGTGAGAGTGCAGATCTGGGAGGTGTTGGATGATGCATGGGTGCAAGGTGTTGGGTGGTGTATGGGTGCAAGGTGATGGACAATGCATGGGTGCAAGGTGTTGGGTGGTGTATGGGTGCAAGGTGATGGACAATGCATGGGTGCAAGGTGTTGGGTGGTGTATGGGTGCAAGGCACTGGATAATGAGTGGGTGCCAGGTGCATGGTTGGAAGATGCTGGACGGTGGATGGGTGCAAGGTGCTGGACGGGACCCACTGGAGCTGTACTTGGTGAAATATGAGCTTCAGGGGGTTCTCAGATCTCTCCCTTTCTCCCCATCCCCCTATAACACCTTTCAGGATGGTTTTAGCAACAGGTTGAGGCAGGACCTGACTTTTCTCCCTGTCCCCTTTGGAATTGTCTGTCCCAGCCTGGGCGAGCACCACACAGCCTCCAGCAAGCCCAGTGCCCCAGGGACAGCCCACGGGGCAGAGCAGAGGCCCAGGGCCATGTGTGCAAGGACAAGTCCCCTTCACCCATGTTCCTCACCCTCGCTTTGTCCCACATTCCGATGCACGCCCTGGCATCGGTGCCACCGATCTGTCCCAGAGCTACACCACGTGTGTTCACAGCGTGGTCACACTCAGGACCCCGTGGTGGGAGGTTGCTGGTACCCGCAGTGGTACTGGGTGTCTGGAGCACCCACGTCACCCAGCATCGCACAGCACCCACCGGCCACGGCGCGTTCCCCCGGCGTTGCAATGACATCTAGTGGAGCTGCCTTGGGAAATGGCTCAGTCCCAGCGAGCCCACAAACCTCCTTTGATATTTCCAGGGCTGAATTTTCCCTTTTAACCTCCTCTTCAAAATCCACAGACAGGAGACAAGAGCCAGCACACGATTTCTGAGTCGTGGCTGGCCACAGCCCAGTTACCCAGGAGCCAGAAAAATAAATAATCACCTTTTCTGCAGCAACACCAAGTCCCCTCAAGCCTACGCCAAGCCCGATGCAAGGCTCGTGCTTAACGAAGAGCTCAGGATCATTATGATTATGCAAAGCCTTTTAGATCAGGCTCCCCCTCCATCCCCAAAACCATCACGAATAAATGGTTTTAGGGTGTAAAATGCTGGTCCTGCAAAACCTACGGTTGCTGTAGGAGGTGGTTGGTGGCAAATGAACCAGAATAAGCTGAAGCCAGAGAAGCGCCCGTTCTCCCTCTGAAGGCAAGGAAGAAAAATATAATATATGGTAACCAGAAGAATTAAAAAAAAAATGGTGATGGGTAACGTGCACCAGCAACTCCCAGGGATCACGTCCCTGTTGATGGTGCAGCACCCAACAGTTAACTGCAAAAAAACCCTAGAAGAGCACAGCAGCTTGATCCCAATTCATTCCTTCAGAGATATAATCACAGTCTTTACGAGGTGTAATCATACTATTTATTTAAGAATTAAGTGTGTCAGAAAGTGCCCTAAATTCCCTGTGTAAGAGCTGAGTTGGTGCCTCAGCGTCTGACTCAGCGGAGCTGCGAAGGAGCCGGTTCACAGCGAACGCAGCGATAATTCCCATCGCCAAAGGGGCACCTCGCCTTGGGGACAGGGTGCTGTAGGAAATGTCACAAACCTGAAAGCATCCTCTGGTTTTTGCTGGGACAGGGTTAATTTTCTTCCTAGTAGCTAGAAAGCGCTGTGTTTTGGTTTCAGTGAGGATTGTTATGAGAACAATGTTGATAACTACAAGGACACTGTGCTGGGGCAGCTTCCAAGAGGAAAGGACTGGAAGGGGGAGGGAGTGGAGGAGGAAAGTGCAGTAATTAGTAAAACACAGAACTGAGAGCTGGATGTGCCAATAAGATAGTCCAGATCATATCACATCATGTTTAATACATTAACCGGGATTGACCAGAAATGGGGAGATTCTCCCAGGAATCACTCAGATTGTGATTTCAGGGTTTAGTGTTGCTCCACCAGGATCGTTATCAGTGGATGGTGAACAATTGTACTCTGCATCACTCAGATATATATATATATAGTTGTCATTATTATCCTCATTATTTTTTTTTTTTTTTACTTTAATGATTACATTGTTCTTATCTCAACCTACACGTCTCCTCATCTTTACCCCTCCGATTCTCTCCCCCATTCCCTGGGTGAGGGCTGTGAGAGGCTGCCAGTTAAGTTAAACAATCAGAGGAGAAGGAGGTGAGGACCACAGAGCTGGTTTAAGGAGAAATGATCACCCAGAGCAATTGTGTATTTTCTTATACATATTTATTTAAATGAGCAAAGGCAGCAGAGCTGGGAGGGGTGGATGGGTAAGTGCTGTTTGCAGCTTTTATATAACAAAAGGGAAAGAAAATAAAATACATAAAAAACTCACAAACACACACACCTTTCCAAAGACAAGACAGACACCCCAAGTGCTGATATCTCAGGGTACCGTTGAGCCACCTCAAGGTGCTAAGGCAGTTATTGAAGCAGCGATGGAGATTCCCAGCCAGGTCCCTCCCCAAAAAAACCCCTCCTTTGTGGAGCAGTTTGAGACCTGCTGCTCCTGTGCCTGAAGGAGACGGATCTGGGAGGAGGCTTGGGATGGTCACCAGCTCCTCTCCCACCCCCTGGAAGGGGCTGGAGCATAGATAGAGAAGAAAGTGCTTTAAAAAGTAGTTATGGCCAAAACTAGTCATTAAGCCACAATTTAAAACTAATTAAGCACCAGAGCAAATCAATAGGGGACAAAGCAGCCACCAGCCTGGCTGAGACAGTGGCTTGGGGTTGCTCCACACCAGCTGCCAGGCATGAACATGGTCCAAAGGAGAGGAAAGGTCCCTGCTTCAGTCTGCTGAGGCCTCCCCAGGACAGCAGTGGCTCTGGGCCACCCTCCTCTACTTCTGTCCCCAGCCTGGCTGGAGAACAATTCATTTTTAAAAAAAAATGAATTCTCCTATTGCACCTTGATTTACTAGAGAACAGCCTCTGGGTGTCTTCACAAGCAGTTATTGCCTCTAAATTCTCCCTCTCTGCCTCCCCTCATATAAAATCTGTCGTTTCCTCAACTTTAGTGGGAGGAAGAAAATATATATATATTAAAAATACCTTTATTTCATAACTAAAAACATGTGTAGTGTCCAGAAATCCATAGTATCCTTGAGCAGCTGGCTGTTAGCAACAGAAGAACAGCCAAAATCTATTTTAAAAATGGATT